TGGCTCACTTGGTTAATCCTCCACCTGTGGCGCCAGTATCCCATATGGGTGCCAGGTTCTGTCTCTGTCGCTCCTCTTCCAGTCCAGCTCTCTGCTGTGGCTCAGGAGGGCAGTGGAGGATGGCCCAAGTACTTGGGTTCCTGTACCAGTATGGGAGACCAGGAGGAAGCACCTGGCTCCTGGCTTCAGATCGGCACAGCGCCGGCCGTAGCGGCCATTTGGGGGGTGAACCAACGGAAGGAAGACCTTTCTCTCTGTTCTCTCTCTCTCACTGTCTAACTCTGCCTGTCAAAAAAAGAAAGAAAGAAAAAGAAAAAAAAAAAAGCTAATAGATGAAGTAAAATGGATTAAAAAAATATTTGTTTAACCCAAAAAGAAAGAAGGAAGAGTAAAAGGAAAAGATAATCAGTGGGATAAATAAAAAACAATTAGCGGGGGCTGGCGCTGTGGCATAGCGGGTAAAGTCGCCGCCTGCAGCGCCAGCAGCCCATATGGGCCTCAGTTCAAGACCCAGCTGCTCCACTTCCAATCCAGCTCTCTGCTATGGCCTGGGAAAGCAGGAAGATGACCCAAGTCCTTGGGTCCCAGCACACATGGGAAGACCTGGATTGGCACAGCCCTGTCTATTGCGGCCAATGGGGGAGTGAGCAAGCTGATGGATGACCTTTCTCTCTCTGCCTCTCCTTCTCTCTTTGTGTAACTCTGACTTTCAAATAAATAATAAATCTTAAAAAAAAAAAGCAAGTAGCAAGGTGATAAACTCAAGGTTGATCATATCAGTAATTACTAAGTACAAAGGTAGAGATCTTCAAATTGGATAAAAAAGCAATACTCAACTATATACTGCTTAAAGAGACATACTTTAAATATATAGACATAAACAAGACAAACTGGACAAGTTAAAAGTAAATATATATATATATACACACACGTACATATATATATATATATAATTCAAATCCTAAGGGTAAGAAAGCTAGTATGGTTAATTAATACCAAAGTAAACATTGAAACAGTGAAGATTAATGTATAGAAAGACAGGAATTGTATTGTGTCTAAAGGCTCAATCAAGAATGCAGTGATTCTAAGTGACTATGCATTTAATAATAGAACTCCAAAATACGTGAACCAAAGTGGACAGAACTAAAGGGAAAAATAGATACATCTACAGTTACAGTTGGCAATGACCCTTTCATAAATAGAGCATGCAGACAAAAAATACATAAAGATATGGAAGATACAACCAACATTATCAACCAGTTTGATCTAGTCAACATTTATTAGATACTAGATGTAATAGCTGCAAAGTACACGTGCAAATGAAACATTGAGTCAAGAGAGATTTTATGTTGAGCTATAAAACCAATAATTTCAAAAAATTCTTCAATAAATTTCAAAGAATAATAAATTTCAAAAGTAATGTACTGCAAATAATAGATTAGTGACTAAAATGAGAATGAGGATCAAGTACTTGTAATCCATGGTTCTGAGTTCTACTACCCTAACATGAGAGATTTTTTTGCACCCTCTTCCAGTCTAACAGTCTTTCTTATTTATTATTATATTTCCAGATGTCTTGCCAAGGTTAAGACTGATTTCTTTAATGCCTTCAAAAGTTGAATTATGCAAATAGAAAATCTAAAGAATAATATGAGCTTGAACTTAGTCTCCCTTTTCCTGGGTTCCGCAGTTCCCTATTCTGAGAAAATGCAATCTTCCACCTGAGCTTGATACCATATGATTTGGACACCAGCACTTCTGTTGCTTAAGATTTTCTAAAATAATCTCAGTTGTCACTGAGGACAATGAACTTCTGCAAAAGAGAAGCTGTCAATCAGAGAACCCCTTCAGAGCTCTTAGCTTGTTACTCAGCTCATTTCTGGAGTTGAGGGAAATATTGGTGTTCATGCACTCCCACTCCAAAACAGATACGCTTGGTGTGTTGTGCTTATGTCTCAAGTGCTGATCCTTAGGCACAGAACACGTAAGAGCAGGCTTCTAAACTGGTATCCATTGGCTCTGCTGGGAGGATCCACCTAGCAATGTGTGTTGATGGCGTTTTCCTGGGATGAGAGTTTCTAGTTTTCATTAGGGTCTCAAGGAATAGAAGATTTAACCTCTAAAAGGCTAAAAGGATTATTGTATCATCTTTTCAAGCTGCCAACAAAATCTTCATGCATTAGCTCTACAGAGGATCCATTAGTTGCATTTCCATTTTCTCATCTGTAATACAGGGTTACATTAAAAAACATCTACTGTGTGCATTCTAAGCAGTAACCCTGGGTTCCACGCTGCACTTTTTCAGGGTTCATTTAACATCTTGCAGAATAAAACTCTGGGGAACCTGTTGGGAAAATGCCAGTTTGGAACTTGTTTGTTTTTCCACTCAAATACTTAACTGGCCTTCTAGTATGTGATAAGCAGTAGCCGGGGGCTGTGGCTGAGCTGTTGGGATAATCATTGTGATCTGTTGCATCCATTCAATAGACATAGAGCTCAGCTCCAGGGCGGAAAGCAGGCACATGGAGTCAGATGGACCCAGAGCTGTATCAGTACTGGCCCACCTCTCACTGGCAGATGGACCTCAGGAGAAACCACGAAACATCTTCAAGCCACCGTGAATTGGAGCCATGCAGGTAAGCATGACCATATATGATTTTTCATTCTTTGAGGCTTGAGGTGAGGTGCGGGTTGATCTCATTCATACCTCCTTCCTCTCTAATGCTTCTCACACTCCAGACTTTATTTTCCTTCAGCACCCCCCCCCCCCCCAGCTTTCTTTCTGTGCCTTGAAAAAGCCAAATTCCCTTCCAGCCCAGGCTCTTTGCACCGGCTGTCTCCTCTGCCCAGATGTGCCCCTCTGCGTCTTTGCATGTCTCACTTTCTCTTATCCATGGGTTTCATCTCACACACATTCCGTCCTCAGAGATTTTCCCTGGCCACTCACCAGGAACTGCCACTCTCTTCATCACCTTTTTTGTTGTTGTTTCCAACATTTGTTTTGTTTTGTCTATTACTTCTCTAGTGTGCTTATTTTTTTTTCATTTTTTAAAAGTTTTATTTATTTATTTGAGAGGTAGAGTTACAGACAGTGAGAGGAAGAGACAGAGAAAGGTCTTTCGTCTGTTGGTTCACTCTCCAAATGGCCGCAACTGCTGGAGCTGTGCCTATCCGAAGCCAGGAGCCAAGAGCTTCTTCCTGGTCTCCCACGTAGGTGCAGGGGCCCAAGGACTTGGGCCATCTTCCACTGCTTTCCCAGGCCACAGCAGAGAGCTGGATTGGAAGAGGAACAGCTGGGACTAGAACCCGGCGCCCATATGGGATGCTGGCGCTGCAGGCGGAGGATTAAGCTACTGTGCCATGGCACTGGCCCCTGCTTATTATTATTATTTTTTTTAATAATTTCTTCTCACCTGAATTTGTTCACGGCTATAGCTTCTGCATACAGGACAGTGCCTTGTAGAGTTTAGTGACACGTATGGATTGAATGAATGAATTAAATTAAATAAAGTGTCTCCAAAAGGATATATACACAGGCGCCGGGATAAATATAAAACAAAGCAACATCAGGGATTAGTTTTATGCTTGTTATTAAAGTATCTACAGTTAAGAAGAGGGATTTTGTGCTCTCATTTGCATAACAAATTGCCTCAAAAAAGTAATTGACCTGGAACAATAGCTCCTTATCAAAACTGCAATTACACGCCTGCCCCACCCTCTTCACTCTCCCCGCCCACAAGGTTTACCAAAAAATTCTTAGTCGGTTTTTCCCCTGGTTAAGTGTGACAGCCACTGAAATGGCAGGATACAAGTTATTTAAGAGCAATGGAACACGTGTTTCAGAAGAAGGGCAAGTTGTCACCACCTTGCACAAGTGGATGCTAGATTGGTCTCTGATGGATAACACGAAATAGGTGAGTAGGTGGGTGGGGGTGGACTGTGAAGGTCGTATTGTAGGTGGAGAGGGCACCCTATCATTTTCGTCAGAGCCACCAAAATTCACCGTGAAGAAACCTGCAAGTAAAGTAAGAGAACTGGACTTGCTGTGCTATCGCAGCAGCTTCAAGCATGTCCAACCACGTGGCCTTCTGTGAGCCTCTCCTAGCTCACTGGAGACTGTCAGGTAGAGCAGTACAGGGAAGACAACAGTATAGCTTCCATTTCCTCCTCTTCAATGAGCAGTGGAAATAAGACTAAGACTGGTCACTAAGAGCCTCAAATGTCAGGACAAGGATAAGGGCAAGGCCGTTATCTTGTCAAGTCTCTAAGTAAGGCGATCAGAGAGTGGCAGTGGTTTAGGAGGAAAGAAACTAATCTTAGGAGACCAGAGCGCAAGTCATTTCATAGTTCAGGCAAGAATGACAGTATAGAGTTCAGAATGGGTTGTGGCATAGCCATTAAAGCCTCTGCCTGTGACGCTGGATCCCAGATGGGCACAGGTTTGAGTGCCAACTGCTCTACTTCCGAAACAGCTCCCTGCTCATGGCCTGGGAAAAGCAGCAAAGGATGGCCCAAGTGCTTGGGTCTCTGCCATCCTATGGGAGACCAGGATGAAGCTCCTGGCTCCTGGCTTCAGCCTGACTCAGCTCTGGCCTTTGTGACCATGTAGGGAGTGAACCAGTGGATGAGAGATCTCTCTGTGTGTGTCTCTCTGTCTCTCCTTTTCTCTCTGTGACTCTGACTTTCAAACAAATAAATAACTTAAAAAAGAAAAAAGAAGAAGTGTGGACATGAGTTGTGTAGGTCAGAGGACTCTGGTGAGGCTAAGCAGGGCATAGGCCCAGCCGCCTATGTTGCATTGGGAGGTTCACAGGTTTGGTTCTAACATATTTGGCCCATAGGATGCAACTACTATGAGCTTTTTCAAAATAATAGTCCTCGTGTCTACTAGCCTTAGCAAGAAGCGGAAATTATAAAGGCAGTGTATCTTTTAAGAAAAATCCCCTTTTGTAGTACTTCCTTAAAAGGAGCTACTTAATGCAACTCTGCCAGTGTCTGATGCTAATGAAACATCTTTGTACAGGGTTGAAGTGTGTTCCGGGTAAGTGGTCAGCTTATGCTTTTCAAAAAACTTTTATAACAGTTTGCTTCCTAGTCAGTGTTTCTCTTTGGTTGCAAGAAATATTGAGCCATTGAAATAATCGATGTTTATCAAGTTTTTTTTTTCTTCTCTTTGGGTTTGCTACTTTGAAGACTGTATAGTTCTACAGACGTAACATGCAATAATTTAGCAGTTAAACGTTGAGGGAGAATTAATTGAAAGTCATAGATGTGATTTTTTAAAAATTTGTACTACTAATAGTATTCACTAAAGACCACAGCCCAAAAATCTTTTGTGGTTTTTCTTCTCATATTTTTTTGACATAATATAGTGGCTTCAAATGGAGCCAAATGGAACTTTGCTGGTTGATGTGTTATTGACGCATTATGGATATGTCCAATGTTGGCATTAGATTATATCCTTTCATTGTACTAATCGGTGTTAAATGCTGAGGAGTAAACACATTGTACTTGCTGGATAAATGTTAAGAACTTATATGATTAAGCAGTATTGGATTCATGATAGCTTCTTATGTGTCTTTGTTGCGTTGTTCTGTAGAGTTAAAAAGCATTTCATGCGAATCTGTATGATAGTTGTTTATTTAAAATAAAATCTAAGTCACTGAAAGGGATAAGAAAGTAAATAATGAAAATTATAGACCAGAGTTCTTAACCTAGAGCACTAAGAAGGCTTATAGGCTTTATAGGCTGTTTTATTTGTAAGTTAAAGTAATTTTTCATGAGAAAGAAAGCAAGGCTTGTACTAGATTCACAGAAGGCAAAAAGGTTAAATTTTTTAAAAAAATCCTGCTGCATCTAAGGTAAAAAACATTGATTTTGAGATTTTTTAAAATACTCAAATACTTAAAAAAGAATTTTGAAACACTTGAATATACTCCTGAGTTATCTCTATATTTTCTTATGAGTTTAGAAATGTAGGTAACTAACTTTATATAGCATTTTTAGCATCTTCAATGTTTTTTAGTGACAGAAAACAAAATCTGTAAGAAATTCGGTAGAAAGAAAACTTTATACTTTTCAAAGAATTCAGATGGTACTCTTTATTTACTTCAGATATTTTAAAAAAATTTTGAGCAAGATTTTTTAATTCAGAAGTGAATTAGACTGTATTTAATTTTGTTTTTTAACCTTAAATTTTTTCAGGATTGCCAGTTTATTAATGAAGCATGGTAAGTTCATATTTTACAATCTTTATTCTTCCTCCCTTTTAAGTATAAAAGCATTTGAATCAAATTAATAAGGTTATTAAATGGTTTGCAAAGCCATTGAATTTTACCTTAAAGACATACTTATGAAATTAAGAGCATTTCATTTTATTATTTTTTAAAGATTTACTTATTCATTTAAAAGTTAGAGTTATGGGGGAGGGGAGACACTGAGATAGAGAGAGAGAGATCTCTACTTAAAAGAGTGACAGAGACAAGGAGGAGGTTCTCCTTCCACTGGTTGACTCCCCAGATGTTCACAATGGTCCAGTCAAAGCCTCGAGTCCAGAACTGAAGCCAGGTCTCCCAACATGGATGAACCATTGCCTGCTGCCTCCAAGTCTGTACATTAGCAGGAAGCTCAATCACAGTAAAGCAGGGACTCGAAGCCAGACACTCTGATATGGGACAGGCATCCCAGTGGCACCTTTTTTCCTTTGTAAATATTTATTATTTATTTGTTTATTTGAAAGGCAGAGGAGGGGCCAGCATTGTAGTACAGCAAATTAAGATGTCAATTGCCACATTGGCATCCCATATCGAGTCCTTTGTAAATATTTATTTATTTATTTGAAAGGCAGAGGAGGGGCCAGCATTGTAGCACAGCAGATTAAGTTGCCAGTTGCCACATTGGCATCCCATATTGTCTCCTCCTCCTCCTTCTTCTTCTTCTTCTTTTAAAGATTTATCCTATTTACTTGAAAGGCAGAGTCAGAGAGAGAGAGAGAGAAAGAGAGAGAAGGAGGGAGGGAGGGAGAGAGAGAGACAGAGACAGAAACAGAAAGAGAGGTAGCTTCCGTCCACTGGTTCACTCTCCAGATGGCTAAAATAGGCCTGGGCCAAGATGAAGCCAGGAGCCAGGAGCTCCACTGGATCTCCCACATGGGTGCAGGGGTCCAAGCACTTGGGCCATTTTCTACTGCTTTCCCAGGCACATTAACCGTGAGGTGGATCAGAAATGGAACAGCCGGGACTCAACCAGAGCCCATAAGGGACGCCAGCACCACAGTGCTGGCCCCTGGCTACCACATGCTGACCCAGCTCCCTGCTAATGTGCATGAGAAAGCAGCAAAAGATAATTCAAGTGTCATTAGTTTGGGAGACCTAGATGGGGTTCCAGGTTCCTGGCTTAGGCATGGCCCAGTCCCCACTATTGTGGCCATTTGGAAAATGAATCAACGAATGGAAGAATTCTCTCTGTCTCTCTTGCTCTCTGTGTTGCTGAAACAGATGTAGCTAGAGACCATTATGCTTGGTGAAATAAGCCATATCGAAAAAGAAAATCATATGGTTTGCTTGACTTGTGGTAGCTAATTTAGAGTACAAAAAATGTAATGTATATGGGTAAAAATGACGATTTGAGATTTGATTGTTGTTTATAGCCCTTGTCTCTTCTCCTGAGGAACAGTGGTCTTTCTACTTTCTACTTGTTGTATTCTTTATTTAGTGAAGGATTAGGCCTGTCACAACAAAGTAAATTGGAAATATGTTGTCGCAAAAATTAAAAGGAAAATAAAAGAAAAGGAGGAGAAAGGAGGGAAAGAAAAAGGAAGGATGGAAAGTATCATTATGAGCTTAAAATTATATACATGGAATATGTGAAATCTGTCCTCTTGATTACAATGAAAAATAAATTTGAAAAGAAATAAAAGGCAGAATGACAGAGATGGGGAGAGAAAGGGAGATCTTAACTCCCATTAGTTCACTCCCGAAATGGTGCAAAGGCTGGGACCGAGTCACGCTGACTCCAGGAGCCAGGAACTCCATCCTGGTCCCCCACATGGTGGCAGGATCCCAAGCACTTGGGCCATCTTCCATTGCCTTCCCGGTTGCATCAGCAGGGAGCTGGATCAGACTTGCACCAGTGCCCCAACAGGCATCTCAAGCAACAGCTTCACTTGCCGTGCCACATGACAGTCCTTCATTTTTTCTTTTTAAAAATATTTATTTAGGGTCCTGGCATTGTAGCATGGCAGGTTGGGCCACTGCCTGCTGTGCCAGCATCCATGTGGGCACTGGTTCGGGTCCGATTCCAATCTGACTCCTTGCTGACGCACCTGGGACAGTAGTGGAGGGTGACCTGGATCCTTGGGCCCCTGCACCCACATTGGGGGGGCTCAGATGAGATTTCAGATTCCTGGCTTCTGCCTGGCCCAGCCCCAGCCATTGTGGCCATTTGGGGGATGAACTGGCAGATGGAGGATCTCTTTCTCTCTAACTCTGTAACTCTGCCTTACAAATAAAAATAAATGAATGTTTAAAAAATTTTTCATTTGAAAAGAAGAGGGACAGAGAGAATGAGAGAGGCAGGAAGAGAGAAAGAGAGAGATCTTCCATCTGCTAGTTCATTTCCCTAATTGCTGCAACAGCCAGGGCTGGGCCAGTCTGAAACTTGAAGCATGGAACTCCATCCATGTTTTACACATCCATGGCAGGGACCCAAGTACTTGGGCCCTCATCTGCCTCACAAGTGCACCAGCAGGAATCTAGATAGGAAGCAGAGTAGCCTGCACAGCAGTTGGCATTCTGATATGGGATGCTGGCATTCCAAGTGGAGGCTTAACCAGATGCACCACAATGACTGCTCCCACAAGTGGCATCTTAAGCATATCTGCACTTGAGACATTTTTGGTTATCACAGAAATGGAAGTGCTGCTGGCACCTAGTGGATCAACGCCAGGGATGCTGCTGAACCTCCTATACAGTAGAGGATGGCCCCCACAACAAAGACTTAGCCAACAAAAATGTCAATAGTCCCAAGGCTGAGAAGCATTCCTCTTGATTAAATGCCATTTTGTATCAGGCAAATAGGTTTAATTGGTAATTTCATAACTGCAGAATTCTGCCATTGTTTCAGCAGACTTGTGTGGAACAAGACAGGCTGGGCCAAGCATTTGAAGACGCTTTTGAGATACTCAGGCAGCATTCACTGGGAGATTTCCAGTCCTCCCCAGGTAAAGATGAGCCATCGTTCACTGTCTCCTGCTGATACATCCTGGGCCTTGTTGGTGGCAGACACATGTCAACATGACCAGAATAGAGAAGATCATTTTACCTAAACACTCAGAGTTAACTCTAATGAAAGCAAAATGCATCCTAAAAAAAGTTAAGATCTCTCATATAAAAAATGCAGAAAATATAGAGAATGATATTCTATGATATTCTTTTTTTAAAAGATTTATTTATTTATTGGAAAGGCAGAGTTACAGAGAGGCTGAGGCAGAGAGAGAGAGAAAGAGAGAGAGTCTTCATCTGCTGGTTCACTCCCCAATTGGCTGCTACAGTTGGAGCTGTGCCGATCCAAAGCCAGTAGCCAGGAGCTTCTTCTGGGTCTCCCATGTGGGTACAGGGTCCCAAGGACTTGAGCCATCTTCTACTGCTTTCTAAGGCTATAGCAGAGAGCTGAATCGGAAACGGAGCAGCCGGGACTCGAACTGGTGCCCATATGGGGTGCTGGCACTGCATGCATGCAGTGGCTTTACCTGCTATGCTATAATGCAGGCCCTGAGGATGACATTCTACATGAGACTATAGAGAAGTAATTATCTTTTTTTTTTTTTTTTTTTTTTTTTTGACGGGCAGAGTTAGACAGTGAGAGAGAGAGAGACAGAGAGAAAGGTCTTCCTTTCATTGGTTCACCCCCCAAAATGGTCGCTACCGCCAGTGCGCTGCAGCCAGCATGTGCCGATCTGAAGCCAGGAGCCAGGTGCTTACAATGGTTTCCCTTGCAGGTGCAGGGCCCAAGCACTTGGGCCATCCTCCACTGCACTCCTGGGCCACAGCAGAGAGCTGGACTGGAAGAGGAGCAACCGGGACAGAATCTGGTGCCCCAACCGAGACTAGAACCTGGGGTGCCAGCGCTGCAGGCGGAGGATTAGCCTAGTGAGCCGCGGCACTGGCTTGAAAGCCGTGGGTCACTAGGCTAATCCTCCGCCTTGCGGCGCCGGCACACCGGGTTCTAGTCCCGGTCGGGGCGCCGGATTCTGTCCCGGTTGCCCCTCTTCCAGGCCAGCTCTCTGCTGTGGCCAGGGAGTGCAGTGGAGGATGGCCCAAGTGCTTGGGCCCTGTACCCCATGGGAGACCAGGATAAGTACCTGGCTCCTGCCATCGGATCAGAGCAGTGCGCCGGCTGCAGCGCGCCGGCTGCGGCGGCCATTGGAGGGTGAACCAACGGCAAAGGAAGACCGTTCTCTCTATCTGTCTCTCTCACTGTCCACTCTGCCTGTCAAAAAAAAAAAAAAAAAAAAAAAAAAGGCTTTCAATTTTTCTAATTTATTTTATAAATATTCTACTCACCTAAAATATATGGTTATGCTACTTGGAAGAATAAGTATTTTTACCCTTCCTCCTCTGTTATCCTACAGATGTTACAGATGTAATGACATGCACACTTGTTGCCTATTGAGTTTAGGTAGGGTATTGCAGAAAGTTCTAGTATCAAAGAAATCATGGGGCCTCCTCCTGCAAGGAATATGTACTCTAGTAAGGGGAAATGGATACTTAAGTATCTGTAATGCCATCGTAATGGGAGCAACACCATAAAAATACAAAATGACAAGAAAATATAGGAGGGAGTAGCCACATATATAAGCATATACTTCCAAACATTCATGGAAAATGGGATTAAAATATAATTATTTTGATGCAAAAGGATTTTGAAATCTATGCATAAAATTGTTGAAATATTTACTTAGCATAGAGTTGGTCTTCTGTACAAAGTTCATTGAAAATGAATCTTAATGGAAAGTGGGACTGGGAAGGGGAGAGGGAGGAGGAGGAGGGGTTGGAGTGTGGGTAGGAGGGCAGGTATGGTGGGAAGAATAACTATATTCCTAAAGTTGTATTTATGAAATTTGTATTCCTTAAAAAATTAATTAATTAATTAAAAAGGAGAAATCTATGCATAGTTTTTTCATAACATATTTTTCATGAACGTTTGGGAAACCCCTCATATTTATATACACAAATATAAACTTTGAAGTTTTCAGTTTCTTTCTGTTTTTCAATTAGATTACAAAAATTACCTGGCTTTCATCAATCATTATCCTTATGTCAGAGGAAACTCCAACTGCTGCGAAGTGGTGCCTACAGAGGAATCTGTTCATAGTTGGAGAACGATAAAAGTGAGTATAATCACCAGGAGACCATCCCCAAGTAAGATAAGAATTTCCTGTTCATGCCAACTTTCCATGTGCCGTATGCTGGCTAAAACCCAGTGTAAAGACAATTGACCATGAAAATGCTTACAGGGGGAATCACTGCAGTCTGACCCTGAGAGTCATTGCCCGTGACCTTCAGCAGTGCTGTCACGGAGGTAACTGCCTTCATCATTGTTCTTTACTTGGCCTCCAGTGGTTTGAGTGACTTCTGTAGAGAGGGGGCATTTTAGGATTCTCACATCACTGTTCCTGCTTAATCCATCTGGAAAACTGCAGGAAAAAAAGTTGTGTTTTCTCTAAAAGCCTCAGGGCAAAGGGCCAAACTTCCCTGCACTCACTGCCTACAGCACAAGCTATTTAATTCATCTGTGTCTTAGCAGCCCCTGCAAAGGGAAATGTCCTCATTGTCTCCCCATTTGTGTGTTCTTTTACATGATTTTCTTTATGCATTCATTTTCTTCCCTTTTTTTTTCATTTTATTTCACAGTCTTAATGTGGTATTGCCTAAATTCGTTATTTTTATTTTTTTAAATTTATTTTTTATGGACCTGGCACCATGGCTCACTTGGTTAATCCTCCGCCTGGGGCACCGGCATCCCATATGGGCACCGGGTTCTAATCCTAGTTGCTCCTCTTCCAGTCCAGCTCTCTGCTGTGGCCTGGGAAAGCAGTGGAGGATGGCCCAAGTGCTTGGACCCTGTACCCACATGGGAGACCAGGAGGAAGCACCTGGTTCCTGGCTTCGGATCAGCACACGCTGGCCGCAGTGCACTGGCCGTAGCAGCCATTTGGGGGGTGAACCAATGAAAGGAAGACCTTTCTCTCTGTCTCTCTCTCTTTCTCTCTCTCTCTCTCACTGTCTGTAACTCTACCTGTCAAATAAATAAATAAAAAATCTTTTTAAAAAATTATTTTTTACTTGAGAGAGAGACTCAAATGTTTGCAACATCCCCAGGCTGGGCTAGGGGCTAAAAGCCAGGAGACTGGAACTCAATCCAGTTCTCCGGGGGGGGGGGGGGGGGGACCAAGCACTTGAACCATTACTGCTTACCTCCCAAGGTGCACATTAGCAGGAGCTAGAGTCAAGAGTCAGAGCTGGGGGGCCAGTGCTGTGGTCTACTAGGCTAAGCCTCTGCCTGTGGCACTGGCATCCCATATAGGCGGTGGTTTGTGTCCTGGATGCTCCTCTTCCAATCCAGCTCTCTGCTTATGGCCTGAGAAAGCAGTAGAAGATGGCCCAAATGCTTGGGCCGCTGCACTCGTGTGGGGGACCTGGAGGAATCTCCTGGCTCCTGGCTTCAGATCAGCCGAGCTCTGGCCATAGCAGCCACGTGGGAAGTGAACCAGCAGATGCAAAATCTTTCTTTCTGTCTCTACCTCTCTCTGTCTGTAACGCTACCTCTCAAATAAGTAAGCAAATAAGTAAGTAAGTAAATAGATAGATAGATAGATAGATAGATAGATAGATAGATAGATAAAATCTTTAAAAACAAAGAGTCAGAGCCAGGCATGAAACCCAGGCATGCTGAAATGGAGTCTCACCTGATATCTTAATCAAATGGCCATTCCTATGCTACATCAAATGTCATTTTTCAATCCCTATAAGTTGTTCTCTGAGGACATTTCCACTTTGAAGAGGGAGTTCCAGCTTAACCTCTTCTACCTCCACTTAAAGTTTTCAGGTAAACTGCAGGGTGCCCACTATTTTTACTTGCTAAGTATGGCATCCCTACTTCCACTTCAGCCCTGACCCTTTGGCACACCCCACCCAGCTTCTTGTGTTTGGGGACCCTTGCCCTGCTGGGCAGCTCTCTTGCATGGGAGTTAGTACCTTTAGAACTTGAGGGATGCTTAGCCTTCTTTTTGTCTGTAGCTTTTATTTTTTTATAGAAAGCTTTTATTTAATAAATATAAATTTTATAAGTACAACTTTTGGATTATAGTGATTCCCCCACCCCCATTCCTGTCCTCCCACCCCCAAACCATCCCACTTCCTACTCCCTCAGGTGATCACTGACACCCATAGCTTTTGATTGTAGTTGCCAGCTGGAAAAACCCCTCTTAACACACTGCTGCATCCTTTCTATAGAACAGTGTTTCAGACCTCTATCTTGAAGGGAATGTCCACCAGTCTCTGCAGAATGCAACTGAAAACCAATTGGTGCAACCTGCTGTTTTCCCACAAAAAGGAGGAAAAGGTATGTGGATCTATCACTCCTTATAGGTACAAGATCTTCCTCATAGCAACTTTGAGGGGATTTGATATCTGCTTTTGGAACTTCTTGCAAATTACTTTATCAACATTGAGAATCATTTGACTATGATTGATTGAACCACTCTAATTCATCTTGGTTAAAACTGTTTATTGATTCACAGAGAAGTTGTGAAGCCACAAAGTATGACTTAGCTCAAAAAATTCCGTATGCAAGAAAAATGCTTATATATTTTTATTATAGAAGGACAACCTTTTCTATAAGTTATATTAGCAATCATTTTTCAATGGTGAAGCCCTTGGAATAGAAATCCCTTTTTAATAAGAGTTTTCTGCAAAAAAAGTCACATTGTAGTAATTTGATATTTCATAAATTTAAAATCATGATTTAATATGTTTGAGATAATGGTCTTCCTTAGTGGCAGAGTTGTTAAAGCAGGAAGGTAACCTCTGATGGCTAACTTGTGGGCCTCTCATGCACTATTGGAGGGAGGCTTGGTGGGCGTGAAGACTGGTAAGGCAATTTGGCATTTCCTATGAAAATTTACACATTCAAATCTATTGACTCTTTTGGAACCATACAACTCATGGTTGATTAATGTGTGGATTAATTGTGTGAGCCTGTACTACACTTAACCCCCTGTGTCACCATTTCCTTATTAAAAAACTTAGTAATCAGATCAACATTGTAAGATTGCTGCAAAAATTAAATGAGAAACTTGTGTAGTGCATTGTGTTCATAGCCTAGCACTGTGGGTAATTTCTCAAAATACCATAGATGTGTGTGTGTGTGTGTGCGTGTGTGTGTGCGTGTGTGTGTATTTATATGTATTAGGATGTTCATTGCCATGTTGTATGTGATAGTAAAAAACTGGGAACTTATCTACTATTTTGAGTCTATAAAGGACTGAGAGGTATAAGATTTATCCTAATTTTTAAGAAGATTTATTTATTTGAAAGGCAGAATTAGAGAGAGAAAGAGAGAGAGAATCTGCCATTTGCTGGTTGACTCCCCAAAAGGTCACAAAAGCGGAGGCTGGGTCAGGCCAAAGACAGGAGCCTGGAACTCCATCCAGATCTCCCAGATGGAGGCAGGGACCCAAAGACCTAAGAAATTTTCCATGGTTTTCCCAGGTGCATTAGCAGGAAGCTGGATTGGAAGTGGAGCAGCCCATATGAGATGCTGGCATTGAAGGTAGAGGCCTTACCTGCTGCACCACAATGCCAACCCCGAAGTATCCCAATTTAACAGTACAGTTTTTTTAAGCTCCTGGCTTCAGATCAGCACGGTGCGCCGGCCGCAGCGCACCGGCTGCAGCAGCCATTGGAGGGTGAACCAACGGTAAAGGAAGACCTTTCTCTCTGTCTCTCTGTCTCTCTCTCTCTCTCTCACTGTCCACTCTGCCTGTCAAAAAAAAAAATTTATTTATTTATTTGAAAGACAGAATTACAGATAGGCAGAGACAGAGAAAGAGAGATATCTTCCATCCACTGGATCACTCCCTAGTTGGCTGCAACAGCATGAGCTGCAACAATCCGAAGCCAGGAGCCAGGAGCTCCTTCCAGGTCTCCCACACAGGTCAGGGGCCCAAGCACTTGGGCCATCTTCTACTGCTTTCCCAGGCCATAGCATAGAGCTAGATGGGAAGTGGAGCAGCTGGGACTCAAACCAGCATCCATATGGGATTCTGGCACTGCAGGTGGCAACTTTACCCACTATGCCATAGCGCCAGCCCCAACAGTACAGTTTTGAAAATGATACATAATCATCATTATTAAAAATTATTTGCAATGAATATGCTTTTAAAATACTCTATTTAAATGTATCCTAGAATCATAAAATTCTAAATATTCCTTCTCAGCAATGAATGTATAAAATCAAATGAACAAACAGACTCCAGGCTATGATGTCTATGGCTTTCTCTCTCTCTCTCTCTTTTTAGGTTTTATTTATTTATTTGAAAGAGTTAGAGAGAGAGAAGGCTAGAGATCTTCCATCAACTGGTTCACTCTCCAGATGGCCACGATGGCCAGGGCAGGGCCAAATTAAAGCCAGGATCCAGGAGTTTCATTCAGGTATCTCATGTGAGAGGCAAGGACCCAAGTACCTGGGCCACCTGCTGCTCCTTTTCCCAGGTCATTAGCAGGCAGCTTGTTTGGAAGTGGAACAGCTGGGACTCAAACCAGTGCCCATGTGAGATGTTGGCGTAGCGTGTGGAAGCTTTACTCGCTACCCCACAATGCCAGCCCCAATGTCTGAGTCTTTGCAATGATGTTCCATGTGGTGGAGCCTTTAGGGACCATCATCCAACATCTTCTATTTTGAGATCTTAGTCTTCCATATAGAAGAGGGATACATTTGAAAGATAATAAAATGACAAAATATTTTTGACATCTATTCTTGGGGAAAAAATGATACTTCAAAAACTTTGAGAAAAAGTGGAATTAAAATATGAGTTTATTTTGGTGCAAAATTGTTTGAGTTCCCTGCATAGTTTTTTCATAACATACACTTGCCATGAGCTTTTCACAGTGTCCTTGTAGTATAGCCATAAATTGGAATATATACAATGATTAAAAGGTATGAAGGCATTCCTCATGTGTTGATATAGACAGTCTTCTGTGGCCTGGAAAGCAGTGGAAGATGGCCCAAGTCCTTGGGCCTCTGCACCCATGTGGGAGACCCAGAAGAAGCTCCTGGCTCTTGGCTTCAGATCGGCTCAGCTTTGGCCATTCCAGCAGTTTGGGAAGGTGAACAGTGGATGGAAAACCTCTCTCTCTCCCTCTCTCTGCCTCTCTGTAACTCTGCCTTTCAAGTAAATAAAATAAATCTTTTTTTAAAAAACTCACTGACTTTTTTTTTTCTAACTTTTTATTTTTTTTGATAGGCAGAGTGGACAGTGAGAGAGAGAGACAGAGACAGAGAGAAAGGTCTTCCTTTTTGCCATTGGTTCACCCTCCAATGGCCGCTGCGGCCGGCGCACCGCACTGATCTGAAGCCAGGAGCCAGGTGCTTCTCCTGGTCTCCCATGGGGTGCAGGGCCCAAGCACTTGTGCCATCCTCCACTGCACTCTCAGGCCACAGCAGAGAGCTGGCCTGGAAGAGGGGCAACCGGGACAGAATCCGGCGCCCTGACTGGGACTAGAACTTGGGGTGCTGGCGCCGCTAGGTGGAGGATTAGCCTATTGAGCCATGGCGCCGGCTCATCTCACTGACTTTTTAAACTTCAAACAGCTGACAAATATATAAAGAATAAGTAATCATTGTCACCAGTTTGGTATTTATTCTAGCTATGGCTTATCTCTGTAATGGCCTATAATTTATTTAAGATATGTTATTCACTGAAAAGTGTTAAAGAGTATGATCCCATTTGTAGTTTTAAAAAATTAAGCATTTGGCTGGTGCTGTGGCTCACTAGGCTAATCCTCCACCTAGCGGCGCCAGCACCCCAAGTTCTAGTCCCGGTCAGGGCGCCGGATTCTGTCCCGGTTGCCCCTCTTCCAGGCCAGCTCTCTGCTGTGGCCTGAGAGTGCAGTGGAGGATGGCACAAGTGCTTGGGCCCTGCACCCCATGGGAGACCAGGAGAAGCACCTGGCTCCTGCCATCGGATCAGAACAGTGCGCCGGCCGCGGCAGCCATTGGAGGGTGAACCAATGGCAAAGGAAGACCTTTCTCTCTGTCTCTGTCTCTCTCACTGTCCACTCTGCCTGTAAAAAAAAAAAAAAAAATTAAGCATTTGTATATGCAAAAAAATAAGAGAACTTTTTAGAAATATCCATGATTTACTTTTGCTTTGTGCTTCTGTTTGAATTTTTTACCATGAGCATATTTTACTTTTACTTTTAAAAAATAAAAATTGAAGCACTGTTTTGAATTGAAAACACATTTTCGGAGACAAACTATTAAAATTTGCTTAGCTGTTAGATGAGAGGCTGAAGGGTTTTGTTTAATGTTGTGACTTTAATTCGTAATGTGTTTTTTGGTAAGTCCCTTTCATTTCTCAGTTCATAAACTCAAGATAATATAATGCAAGAAATAATCTTCATAAAAAAACACTTGAGGTTTCTGGGTGAATGATGACTGATGCAAGATTATTTACCCCCAGAGACTGTTAGAAGCAATTTGGGAACCACTATTCTATTTCCTCAAGGAGAAATGGAATTTGGCTATGGATGTCTCAGCTACTGACAGAACTGATGGGCACATTATTCCAGGCTAATTCAGAAGCCACAAAATGGACTATGACCTTCATTCTCCTAAGTAGCTCTGTTGGGCCAAAGAAATCCTTTCAACTGAACAAGCAAAAAATATAATTGAAGCTTCCTGTGTAGTTATTTTGAAATCCAAATGGCTCCATTCCTAAAAAGATTAGCAACTCTCGTACTACCATCTTATTTCACAGCAAGAAAAATAAATTTTCAATGCCCTTTCTCACTGCTCAGAAATAATGGCGTGAAAACATTTTTGTCATTTCTGCTCCAGTTTTTTTGTACTTTTTATTTTTCAAGTCATGACCCAGGGTTAGCATTTTTTTCAAGTCATTTTTACTAGTTCCCCAAGTATTACTTTCTGTTTGCATACTGCTTTGCATTTTACAAAGTGCACACACATCTCTTACCTCATTTCTTTAACTCATTCGAATAAAGCTTCTTCAATGGCCTTTTTTCTGGAAATGACTTTCGACACTTTTTATTGAAACCACTTTGCAGTTCATTTTGCCCAATTTTGTTGTCCTGTAGAAACCTTAACACCTGGCGTAAAACTTATGGTCAGGATTTGTCCATGAGGAAAGAGCTCACAATGGAACGCCCCATTAAAAATGCTCCAGGGTCCCCATCTCCAGTGAGGGAGAGTGCAAAATTTTTGACAACTTCCATAACAAAGAAAGGGCCAGTGAAACTAAGCCAAATAGATCCTTGACCTTCAAATCCCATGAAAACTGCCCTAAGTGCATTCCTAAGGGTCTGAGTAGGAGGAAAACCAGTCCCAGTGTAGCTTTGAATCCTGTGATTACTCAACAGCCTTCCTGAACAGATCCTCTGTGTTCAGCCACAGTAGATTTCACATTGTTTCCCTCCACTCTAGGCAGGAAGAAGCTCCGACTGTTTGAATACCTTTACGATTCCCTGTGTAATCCTGAGATGGCATCCTGTATTCAATGGGTCGATAAAAATAAAGGCATCTTTCAATTTGTATCAAAAAACAAAGAAAAACTGGCTGAACTCTGGGGAAAAAGAAAAGGTAACCGGAAGACCATGACTTACCAGAAAATGGCCAGAGCACTGAGGAATTATGGAAGAACTGGGGAAATCACCAAAATCCGGAGAAAACTAACTTACCAATTCAGCGAGGCAATTCTCCAAAGACTCTCTCCATCTTATATCTTGGGGAAAGAGATTTTCTACTCACAGTACCTTCAACCTGATCAGGAATATCTCAGTTTAAATGCTTGGAATGCAAATCACAACTATACATATGCCAGTTACTATGAGTTAAGTCACCCAGATTGCTAAGTAACACCCTCCCATTTCTTGGTATCCTGGTTTTGAAATTTCTACAAGCTTCAGGATTTTTCTTGCAAAGCAAATATAGTCGGCTCTCCATATCCACAGTTTCCGCAGATTCAGCCAGTCAGGAATAACAAACATTTGAAAAAAAATTGCATCTCTTCTAAACTTCTTGTCATTATTCCCTAAACAACACAATGTAACAATTTACACAGCATTTACATTGAGTTAGGCATTAAAAGTAGTCTAGACAGCTCCTGCATTTGCCAATTTAATTTCCTTTGGGTAAATTCCAAGGAGTGGGATGGCTGGGCTGTATGGCAGGGCTATATTCAGGTTGCACCTGAATGTTTGTTGCAGCTCAATTCACAATAGCTAGGGCATGGAGTCAACCTAAATGCCTATCAACAGAAGACTGGATAAAGAAATTATGGGGTGTGTACTCTATGGAATACTACAGCAGTAAAAAAAGAAGGCCGGTCATTGCAGCAAAATGGAAGAATCTGGAAAACATCATGCTGGGTGAAATAGGCCAGTCCCAAAGGGACAAAAATCATATGTTCTCCCTGATTGGTGACAGCTAACTGAGCACCTAAAAGGAAACCTGTTAAAGTGAAATGGACACTATGAGAAACAATGACTTAATTGGCTCTTGTCCTGACTGTTGAGGAACAACTCACTACTTTATTCCTTTTGGTATTTTTTTGTTCTACTTAATACCATTGGTTGAACTCTTTAATTAACACACAATTATTCTTAGTCGTTTAAATTTTTTTTTTTATGCAACTGTGTTGGTAATGGGTTTTCTTTCTTTCTTTTTTTTTTTTTTTTTTTTTTTTGACAGGCAGAGTGGACAGTGAGAGACAGAGAGAAAGGTCTTCCTTTTTGCCGTTGGTTCACTCTCCAATGGCTGCCGCGGCCGGCACAGCACGCTGATCCTAAGGCAGGAGCCAGGTGCTTCCTGCTGGTCTCCCATGGGGTGCAGGGCCCAAGCACTTGGGCCATCCTCCACTGCACTCCCAGGCCACAGCAGAGAGCTGTCCTGGAAGAGGAGCAACCGGGACAGAATCCGGCGCCCCGACCGGGACTAGAACCCGGGGTGCCGGCGCCACAAGCAACTCATAGAATGGCAGATGTCCTAAACAGCACTCTGGCCTCAGAATCAGCCCTTAGGGCATTCGGATCTGGCTGAAAAGCCCATGAGAGTATTTCAGGCATGGAAAGCCAAGACACTCTGGCAAAAAGAAAAAAAAAAAAAAAAAACCCACAAAAACAAAAACAAAAACCCTAAATGAAAGATCTCTGTGAGTGAGATCCCAGTGGAAAGAACGGGCATCAAAGAAGGAGGTGCCTTTCTCTAAAGGGAGGAGAGAACTTCCACTTTGACTATGGCATTGTCAAAATAAGATCAAAGTGGGCAAGCTCAGGGGGCTTCCACGCCTTGCCAACTCATGACTAGAGCCTGGGGAGATTGCTGACGCCTTAAACAAGGGTGTCAAATTGTTAAGTCAACAACAGGAGTCACTGTGCACTTACTCCTCATGTAGGATCTCTGTCCTTAATGTGCTGTACATTGTGATTTAATGCTATAACTAGTACTCAAACAGTATGTTACACTTTGTGTTTCTGTGTGGGTACAAACTGTTGAAAGCTTTACTTAATATATACTAAATTGATCCTCTGTATAAAAAATGAATCTTGATGTTAATGGAATGGGAGAGGGAGCGGGAAATGGGAGGGTTTTGGGTGGGAGGGAAGTTATGGGGGAGGAAAGCCATTGTAATCCATAAACTGTACTTTGGAAATTTATATTTACTAAATGAAAGTTTAAAAAATACGACCTAAATGAAAAGATCTCTGTGAATGAGATCCCAGTGGAAAGAACATGCCATCAGAGAAGGAGGTACCTTTCTCTGAAGGGAGGAGAGAACTTCCACTTTGACTGTGACCTTGTTGAAATAAGATTGGAGTTGGCGAACTCGGGAGGCTTCCATAGCCTTGGTAGCTCATAACAAGAGCCTTGGGTGATTACTGACGTCGTATATTAGAGTGTCAATTGTTAAATCAACAACGGGAGTCACTGTGCACTTACTCCCCATGTAGGATCTCTGTCCTTAATGTGTTGTACTATGTGAATTAATGCTATAACTAGTACTCAAACAGTACTTTATATTTTGTGTTTCTGTGTGGGTTCAAACTGTTGAAATATTTACTTAGTATATACTAAATTGACCTTTTGTATATAAAGATAATTTAAAATGAATCTTGAAGCAATCTGCACCTTAATGTTTATTGCAGCTCAATTCACAATAGCTAAGATATGGAATCAACCTAAATGCCCATCAACAGTAGACTGGATAAAGAAATTATGGGATATGTACTCTATAGAATACTATACAGCAGTAAACAATGAAATCCGGTCATTTGCAATAATATGGAGGAATCTGGAAAACATCATGCTGAGTGAAATAAGCCAGTCCCAAAGGGACAAATATCATATGTTCTCCCTGATCGGTGACAACTAACCGAGCACCAAAAAGGAAGCCTGTTGAAGTGAAATGGACACTATGAGAAAGAGTGACTTGATCGGCCCTTGCCCTGACTGTTGATGAACAACTTAATACTTTATCCCTTTTAGTATTTTTTTTCTGTTTATTCTACTTAATACTGTTGGTTGAATTCTGTAATTAATACACAGTTAATCTTTGTGGGGAGCAACTGGGAGCAACTCGGACTAGACTAAGTTACTGGAATTAAGACATATTCTATGCATCTGCTCTCCCACAATATGGCGCTAAGAAGGGAGAAACAGCTTCTGCACAGCTGCCTCCAGTTCAACCAATAAGCAGCAGGATCTGCTCCTGATTGGAGGAGAGCAGCGTACTTGGCGTGTGGGTAGCAGAGTTGGGATTGGTGGAAGAGGACTATAAAGGAGGAGAGAGACAACATGCACCAGGAACATCTAAGGGGAACATCTATCTGAAGGAACACCTGTGCAGCCCCCAAGAGAGCCGGCCGGCAGTGTGCTGCTCCCCTGCGAAAGTGGGGAAAGTGGCTAGGGGGAACTGCCCTTCCACAGAGGTGGAAGGGACGGTAGCCAACCCGGGAAGAACCAGCAGCAAACCCGGGGAGGGCCGAGCAGACAAAAGAACAGCGCAGGGTCCTGTGTCGTTCCTCCACGAAGAGGGGGAGTGACAATCTTAAGTGTTGAAACTTAACTGAAAAGTGATCCCTGTTAAATATAAGAGTGGGAATAGGAGAGGGAAGAGATGTACAATTTGGGACATGCTCAAGCTGACTTGCCCCAAACGACAGAGTTAGAAACATACCGCGGGATTCCAATTCAATCCCATCAATGTGGCATGTACCAATGCCATCTCACTAGTCCAAGTGATCAATTTCTGTTCACAATTGATCATAATGATAGGACTAAGAGTCAAAGGGATCACATAAACAAGTCTAGTGTCTGCTAATACTAACTAATAGAATAAAAAAGGGAGAGAACGATCCAACATGGGAAGTAGGATACACAGCAGACTCATAGACTAACGGATGTCCTAAACAGCACTCTGGCCTCAGAATCAGCCCTTAAGGCATTCGGATCTGGCTGAAAAGCCCATGAGAGTATTTCAGGCATGGAAAGCCAAGACACTCTTTGGGAATAAAAAATGACCTAAATGAAAGATCTCCATGAGTGAGATCCCAGTGGAAAGAACAGGTCATCAAAGTAGGAGGTACCTTTCTCTGAAGGGAGGAGAGAACTTCCACTTTGACTATGACCTTGTCTAAATATGATAAGAGTCGGTGAACTCAAAAGGCTTCCATAGCCTTGGCAACTCATGACAAGAGCCTAGGGTGATTACTGACACCATAAACAAGAGTGTCAATTTGTTAAGTCAACAACAGGAGTCACTGTGCACTTACTCCTCATGTAGGATCTCTGTCCTTAATGTGCTGTACATTGTGATTTAATGCTATAACTAGTACTCAAACAGTATATTACACTTTGTGTTTCTGTGTGGGTACAAACTGTTGAAAGCTTTACTTAATATATACTAAACTGATCTTCTGTATATAAAGAGAATTGAAAATGAAAAAAAAAAAGAAAATGAATCTTGATGTGAATGGGATGGGAGAGGCAGTGGGAGATGGGACAACTGCAGGTGGGAGGAATGTTATGGGGGGGGGGAAAGCCACTATAATCCAAAAGTTGTACTTTGAAAATTTATATTTATTAAATAAAAGTTTAAAAAAATTAAAAAGTAGTCTAGACGTTATTTAATGTGTATGGGAGGATATGGGTAAGTTCTATGCAAGTACTATGCCATTTTGTTCCAAGAACTTGAGCATCCTTGGATTTGGGTATCCAGGAGGTCCTAGAATCAACTCCCCTCAGATACTGAGAGACAACTGTGCTGGAGAGGCAGGAAATGATTAACATCATTGTTACTGTCTTTTATCAAGTAGGATATAATCTGCACTAATTCTTTTGGAAATTCTCCTAATACATTTATTATTTCAAATGAGCAACCCTTATGTTGAAGTACAGACTGAGTGTTCTTGGTATTATCATTCTCTGTGCAACACGTACTTTTAGATTAACAGTGCTAGCACTGATGACATGATTTATAGGAAGGGTCTTCAAAAAATTCATGGAAAATGTGCATGTTGAAAAAGGCATGATTTTTCAATTTTTTAAAGATTTATTTATTTATTTGAAAGTCAAGTTACACACAGAGAGAAGGAGAGGTAGAGAGAGAGAGAGAGAGAGGTCTTCCATCTGCTGGTTCACTTGACCACAATAGCCGGAGCTGTGCCAACCCGAAGCCAGGAACTAGGAGCTTCCTCCGGGTCTCCTACGCGGGTACAGGGACCCAAGGACTTGGGCCATCTTCTGCTGCTTTCCCAGGCCACAGCAGAGAGCCGGATCAGAAGTGGAGCAGCCAGAACTTAAACCAGCGCCCATATGGGATGCCGGCACTGCAGGCGGTGGCTTTACCTGCTATGCCACAGCACCGGCTCAATGGTTTTGTATACCAAAGTAAACTTATTACTTTTTAAATTTGTTATTTACTTGAAAGACTGAGAAAGAGAACTCCCATCCATCTGCTGGTTCACTCCCAAATGCCTGCAATGGCTGGGGCTGGGGCTGGGGCTAGGCTAGACCAAAGCTGAGAGCCAGGAACTCAACCCAGGTTTCTCATGTGCATGGCATGGATCCAACTACTTGATGCATCACCACCACCTCCCAGGGTGCACTTTAGCAGGAAGTTGGAATTGGAAGCAGAGTCAGACCTTGAACCCAGGTACTCTGATGTGGAATGTGGGCATCTTAACTACTAGGCTAAACAACTGCCCCTAAACTTATCTTTTGAATTCATTTTCCCAGGAACTTTTTTAAATCCCCCTTTCTATTGATTTAAACATTTTATTGTCATATACTCAGGTGAAAAAAATCACTCTTTTGTATATTTGACAGCTTTACAAAAAATTTTAAAGTAATGATTGCATATGATACAATATTTCTGCCAAATATATTCATGGCTTTAAAAATTTCATGGCTGAAAAATTCAGTGAATCTTACATTTTTGATAATAGCCAATCTAACAAATATGAAATGATACCTTATTATGGTATTTTTACATTTGCACTTCTCTGATTAGAGATGTTGAGCTTTTTTTTTTTTTTTTTTTTTTTTTTTGACAGGCAGAGTGGACAGTGAGAGAGAGAGAGACAGAGAGAAAGGTCTTCCTTTACCGTTGGTTCACTCTCCAATGGCCGCTGTGGCCGACACACAGCGCTGATCCTAAGGCAGGAGCCAGGTGCTTCTCCTGGTCTCCCATGGGGTGCAGGGCCCAAGCACTTGGGCCCTCCTCCACTGCACTCCCGGGCCACAGCAGAGAGCTAGACTGGAAGAGGGGCAACCGGGACAGAATCCGGCGCCCCAACCAGGACTAGAACCCGGTGTGCTGGCGCTGCAAGGCGGAGGTTTAGCCTATTGAGCCACGGCGCCAGCTGAGCATTTTTTTTTAAATGTAGCTATTGGTCTTATAGCTTCTCTTGTGAAATGTCAAGTCTAGCGCTTTGACCATCTTTAATAGAGTTATTTATTTTCTTGTTATTGTGTATGCAGTCCTTGTGTATTTTGGCTATTAGCCCTTTATGTAATGCACAATTTGCAAGTATTTTCTCCCAATCTCTGGGTATGTCTTCGCTCTGTTAATTTGTTTCCTTTGCTTTGCAGAAGTTTTTGGTTTTATGCAAGTCCATTTGTCTATTTTTGCTTTCTACGCCTGTGCTTTTGCAGTTAAATCCAAGAAATCTCTGTCCAGATCAGTGTCATTGAGCTTTTCCCCTACATTTTTCTAGTATTTTAATAGATTTGGATTTTATGTTTAAGTCTTTAACACAGTTTGTGGTGATGTTTGTATAAAGAATGAGATAGGGGTGAATTTTCAGTCTTCGGTATGTGTATATGCAGCTTTCCCAACACCATTTACTGAACAGCTCGTCCTCTTTCCGTTGTATATTCTTGGCACCTTTGTCAACATAGATATGTGTGCTTATTTCTGGGTTGTCTTGTTCCATTGGTCAATGTGTACTATGCTCTTTTTTTGTTTCTTTTAAGAATTTATTTTATTTATTTGAAAGGCAGCACTACAGAGAAAGAGACCAATCTTCCATCTATTAGTTCACTCCCCAAATGGCCATGGTGGCCAAGGACCGGGCCAGACAGAAGCTAGGAGCCAAGAGTTTCTTTCAGGTCTCCCACGTGAGCGCAGGGGCCCAAGGACTTGGGCCATCCTCTGCTGCTTTTCCAGAAGCATTAGCCGGGAGCTGGCTTGGAAGTGGAGCAGCTGGATACAGACCAGTGCCAAATGGGATGCTGGGGTTGCTAGCAGAGGCTTCACCTGTTAGGCCTCAATGCAGGCCCATACCATGCTTTTTTTTTTTTTTTTTTTTTTTTTTTTTGACAGGCAGAGTGGACAGTGAGAGAGAGAGACAGAGAGAAAGGTCTTCCTTTGCCGTTGGTTCACCCTCCAATGGCCGCCGCGGCCGGCGCGCTGCGGCCGGCGCACCGCGCTGATCCGATGGCAGGAGCCAGGAGCCAGGTGCTTTTCCTGGTCTCCCATGGGGTGCAGGGCCCAAGCACCTGGGCCATCCTCCACTGCACTCCCTGGCCACAGCAGAGACCTGGCCTGGAAGAGGGACAACCGGGACAGAATCCGGCGCCCCGACCGGGACTAGAACCCGGTGTGCCGGCGCCGCTAGGCGGAGGATTAGCCTAGTGAGCCGCGGCGCCGGCCATACCATGCTCTTTTGATTACTACATCTTTGTACCGGGTGGTATGGCCGTAGACGATATCTACTTTGTTCTTTTGGAAGCAGATTGCTTTGGCTATCTGGGTCTTTTGTGCTTCTAAATTAGAGTTTTTTCTATACCTGTGAAGAATGACACTGGGATTTTGAGGCAATAGCAATGAGTTTGTAGATTGCTTGGGGGAAGCATGGACATTTTAACAATACTAATTCTTCTAACCTACAAACATGGGATAATGGGATATCTTTCTTTTCTTTCTTTTTTTTTTTTTTTTTTTTTTTTAAAGGCAGAGTGGACAGTGAGAGAGAGAGACAGACAGAGAGAAAGGTCTTCCTTTGCCGTTGGTTCACCCTCCAATGGCCTCCACGGCTGGCGTGCTGCGGCCGGCGCACCGCGCTGATCTGAAGGCAGGAGCCAGGTGCTTCTCCTGGTCTCCCATGGGGTTCAGGGCCCAAGCACCTGGGCCATCCTCCACTGCACTCCCGGGCCACAGCAGAGAGCTGGCCTGGAAGAGGGGCAACCGGGACAGAATCCTGTTCCCCGACCAGGACTAGAACCCGGTGTGCCGGCGCCGCTAGGTGGAAGATTAGCCTAGTGAGCCGCGGCGCCGGCTGGGATATCTTTCTATTTATTTGTATCATCTTCAATTTCCTTCATCAGTGTTTCTTTGCTTTCAATATATAGGTCTTTCACTTCCTTGCTTAAATTTACTCCAAAGTACTATTTTATTTTTGACATTACTATACATGGAATTATTTTCTTCTTTTTCAGACTGCTTGTTGTTAGTGTAGCATATCAGATAAAAATGCTACTAAACAATAGTGAAAATAATTGTATTGTATTATATCCTGGAACTTAACTGTGCATTTGTTTATTAGTTCTAACAGTTTTTTTGGTGGGATCTTGGATTTCCTGTATATAAGATCATGATAACAAGTGTTTGTGAGGATGTGGAGAAAAGGAAACCCTTAAATACTGTTGGTGGGAACGTAAATTAGTACAATCATTTTGGAAACAGTATGGGGGTTCTTCAAAAAAGTAAAGATAGAATTAACCACCTGATCCAACATTACAATCCCACTCCTGGGTATATACCCAAAGGAATTGAAATCAGGGTGCGTAAGCGATACATGCATTCCCACGTTCACTGCATCATTATTCATAATAGCCAAGATTTGGGAAAAAGCCTAAAGGTTCTTAAACAGATGGATTTTAAATTTGAGTTATGCACATGTCTATATCTATAAGGTAGATAGGTAGATGGAGGGATAGACAGATTTGATACAGATAGGTAGATAACATGTTGGAATACTATTCAGCTTTAATGAAAAAAAATCAAAAAATTCTGTCACATATATGTTAAGACATATATGTTAAGACATATATGTTAAGTGAAATGAGTTGGACAAATACCACCGGATGTCACTTATGTGGAATCTAAGAATGTTGAATTCACAGAAGCGGAGGGTAGAATAGTGATTCCCAGAGGTGGGAAGGGGCGTGGTTGGGGAAAGGGAGATGTTGGTCAATGAATTGTAAAGTAACAATTAAGTAGGACAGGTTCCACTGCATAGCAGGGTGACTATAGCGGTAATAATACATATGTCAAAATGACTAAAAGAAGATTTTTAAATGTTCTAATCCTAAAGAGATAATACAATTTGAGGTGATGGGTCTGACTTTTCTTTGATCACTGCATGACATAATACACACACACTGAATGCGCTGAACTAACACATTTTACTCTTTGAACTAAAAATAATTTTTTTTAAAAAAATTGGTGGATATCCTGAATGTGTGTATTTCCATTGCACTTGCACCCATGGTCTGGTAACCCTGTGGCACTGCATATGCAGATAAGGAACATGCCAACTTCCTTAATGATGATAAAACTCCGAAAAATTACACCTCCTATAAATCATTTCCTTGCATTTCATTCTTGCCTTGGGTAGATTCTGGGACCACTATGTCTTGTTATCCTTCCAGACAGCCACAGGGAGGTGCTGTTGCCTCATAATCGCAACTCAGGCCCAAACCTTGAACATGATCTCTTCTCTTGAAATGATCCAGTTGAGACCAGGCTAGAACAGTTGGAGGAAGGAAAAACAAAAAAGACTTTGATAGAGGTAAGAGACTAGCAAATAATCAACTGACAGGAGATCTGGGATATAGTCAGTCTGGCATCGAGACTGGCTTATTCTCCATATTCCGCAAGGAACCCTTCGAAGAGACCCTTTCGTCCTACCTCCTGCTTGGCAGGTGGATGGATCTGCCGTCTGCTCTATCACAGAGCATGGAAGCTTTCTGGACTATATGGGCTATTTCACATCCAGGTCAGGCCCAGGGCTCCGTGGGGCCTTCCCTTTGGGATTTGTAGAATTCTCAGCCTCTCCTTTCCCTTTGTGTCCTCTTGGTGCATTTCCTTCCCTGGGGACTTTTAAGAGAAGACACTATAGGTGTCGGCGCTGTGGCATAGTAGGCTAAACCTCCTCTGCCTGGGGTAGGCATCCCATATGGGTGCTGGTTCAAGTCCCAGCTGCTCCTCTTCTGATCCAGCTCTCTGCTTATGGCCTGGGAAAGCAGTGGAAGATGGCCCAAGTGCTTGGGCCTCTGCACCCATGTGGGAGACCAGGAAGAAGCTCCTGGCTCCTGCCTGGCTTCAGCTCAGCTCTGGCCGTTACAGCCATTAGGGGAGTGAATCAGCAAATGGAAGACCTCTCTCTCTCTCTCTCCCTCTCTCTCTCTAACTCTGCTTCTCAAAAAAATGAATAAACATTAAAAAAAGAAAAAGAGAAGACACTGTAGACCCAGAATGACTCCATGCAGGCCATCTTTTCCCCCTTCAAATCTTCCAACTCATAAGACGTAAGTAAATGCTGACGGCACTTGCCTTTCCTCACCCCAGTCTCCCTACAGGAAATACTCTATGGGGCAGTCCTCCTCAAAGGCATCTCCCTATTAACTGAAGGGAACAGCCAAATGCATTAGGGATGGCAGCATGAATTATAATACGTAGACTGAAAGGAAACCTGCATGTTCTAATACACGTCAGCTTACACAAAGCCTAAATGCACATCCTTCCTCCTCCCCTGTCCAAAGTGGAATATGCCACACAGCCTGAGTAACAAGTATTAAGTGAAACATATGATTTCTTCTGTCACTAAGCTTCAATTCTATTAAGATTTAATCAGATTTATAAATTCTATTAACATGGAATGGAAAGTTACTTAATAGCTGAGCAGTCAGCAATTTATTGATAGTTGAGGAAATTGTCACAGACATTGTAAAGAATGCTATATACTCACCATAAATGATTTTCATGAAGGCATGGAAAAACACTTGCTTTCCTGTTGCCTAGAACCATGCTTAATAAATATTTGCTAGGTGAATGTATGAACATAATTTGGATAAGATATCAATTTTAAAAATAAGGAACACATTTATATTGAAGAAGGAGCCATATTTATTTATTAAGCAATTTAAAATATATGTGTCTGAAATCCAATCCTAAGCATTGCGGCACAGCAGGTTCAACCACCCCTTGGGACACAGGCATCCTGTATCAGAGTGCTGGCTCAGTCACAGCTACTCCACTTCTGATCCAGCTTCCTGCTAAGGCTCCTGGACAGCAGTGGATGACAGCTCAGGTCCATTGAGTTCTTGCCACTTATGTGGGAGATCAGATGGAGTTCTGCCTGCTTGCTTCAGCTTGGCCCTGTTCTGGTTGTTGTGGGCATTTGGGGAGTGAACCAGTGATGTAAAGTGCCCTCCTCTCATTCTGTCTTTCAAATAAATAACTAAATCTTCTTTAAAAAATTGAATCCTGTAAAAATATGTGTGTGTATTAACAAAAACACAAGGAAAGATAATTCACAAGTTGAGGAGAGGGGGTTGGGAGGAATTTTTCCCCATCCTGCTTTTAATCATGTTATGTTGTGTTTATAATTTCTCCCATTCAAGTACTAACCAGGCCCGACCCTGCTTAGCTTCCAAGATCAAATGATATCGAACATGTTCAGAGTGGGATGACCATAGACTGTGCTTATAATTTCTATGAAATTTCTATGAGTATGACATGCATGGAAGATGAACAGATATTCCCACAAAAGCTTCCTTAAGAAAAGGACCCAGGATGAGTTTTTGGAAGAAAATAAATTTTCCAGTTACCCTTCGGAAGTTTCCTAAATCCTGTTTGAAAGTGAATTCCATTGGCTTATTCTAAAATGATCAGGCGTTTCTCTTGGGGATTTCCAGTTCAAAGCATAAAACTTCAGCTCCCTTCCTTTATAGTCCTATTGTGTAAAGTTATATCTCATTATTGTGACTTAGCAGGTTAAGCCACTGCCTGCAATGGCATCCCATATGGGTGCTGGTTCAAGTCCCAATTGCTCTACCTCACATCCAGTTCACTGCTAATGTTCCTGGGAAAGCAGCTGAAGATGTCCCAAGTGCTTGGTCCCCTGCACCCATGTGGGAGACCAGGATGAAGCTCCCAGCTCCTGGCTCCTAGCTTCGACCTGACCCAGTCCTGGCCATTGCAGTCATTTGGGGAGTGAACCAGCAGATAAAACATCTCTCTATCTCTCCCTCTCTCTGTCTCTCTTTCTGTAACTCTGCCTTTCAAATGAACAAAAATTTAAAAATTTTAAAAATTACATCTCATGGAAGAATGCATGCATTTTGTGGGTCCCAGATTCTGGCAGGACCTTCTGCTCAGGCTGGGTGAAGCACTTCCGGGTCGCCGCCAGCTGCCCCTTCCCTGTGCGCCTAGGAGCCATGTCCACTTTGTTCCCTTCCCTCTTCCCTCGTGTGACTGGGACACTGTGGTTTAATCTGGATCGACCCTGTGTGGAGGAGACAGAGCTGCAGCAGCAGGAACAGCAGCATCAGGCGTGGCTCCAAAGCGTCGCAGAGAAAGGCAACAATCTGGTACCTATCGGCAAGCCAGCCTCAGAGCACTGTGATGATGAGGAAGAAGGAGATGATGAAGACGATAAGGACAGTGAAGAGGACTCAGAGGATGACGAGGACATGCAGGATGTGGACGAGATGAATGACTACAACGCGTCACCTGATGATGGAGAGGTCAATGAGGTGGACATGGACGGCAACGAACAGGATCAGGACCAGTGGATGATCTAGGGAGACAAGGCAGGGTGGCCTCAGGGAGATTCCAGGCCAACCCAACCTACCTTGCACCCCCAAGCCCCAGCCTGCAGAACCAGGTGATGGCCCCAGTGCCTGATAGCTCATCCTTGGGCACTTCCTCAGCTGCTGCCCGGACCTGGTCTCCTTGGCTCTCCCAGGCCATGAGTCTGCTCTTAAGTCCCCAGGGCCTGAGCCTACCCTACCTTCTTGGCCAGTACTTTACCCTTTGGCTACTGGGTCTGGTCTCTATCTAACCCTCTTTAATAATAATAAAAAAATACATCTCATGGAGGCTTACTATAAAAACTGTGTGAATTTTTTCATACTCCACAGTTACTGAAATGCTTGCTTATTTTTTTTAAGATTTATTTATTTTATTTGAAAGGCAGAGTTACAGAGAGGCAGAGGCAGAGAGACAGAGGTCTTCCAACCACTGGTCCACCCCCCAGATGGCTGCAATGGCCAGAGCTGTGCCAATCCGAAGCCAGGAGCCAAGAACTTCTTTCTGGTCTTCCCATGTGGGTGCACGGGCCCAAGGACTTGGGCCATCTTCTGCTGCTTTCCCAGGCCATAGCAGAGAGCTGGATTGGAAGTGGAGCAGCCGGAACTCGAACCAGCACCCATATGGGATGCTGGCAGTGCAGGTGGTGGCTTTACCCGCTACGCCACAGTGCTGGCCCCAACTTTCTTATTTCTTAACTGATGACACTTTCCCACTGATTCTTTGAAGTAAATAGACACATGGTACAACCTTGAAAAGTGTAGAAAGTTGAGATTCAGAGGCCGGCACCATGGCTCACTTGGCTGGTCCTCCGCCTGCAGCGCCGGCACCCTGGGTTCTAGTCCTGGCTGGGGCGCCGGGTACTAGTCCCGGTTGTTCCTCTTCCAGTCCAGCTCTCTGCTGTGGCCCGGGAAGGCACTGGAGGATGGCCCAAGTGCTTGGGCCCCTGCACCTGCATGGGAGACCGGGAGGAAGTACGTGGCTCCTGGCTTCAGATCAGTGCAGCACTGGCCATGGTGGCCATTTGGGGGGTGAACCAACGGAAGGAAGACTTTTCTCTCTGTCTCTCTCTCACTGTCTATAACTCTCTCTCTATCTCTCCCTCTCACTGTCTAACTCTACCTGTCAAAAAATTAAAAAATTAAAAAAAAAAAAGAAAGTTGAGATTCAGAAAGGTCAAGCAACCTGTCACTGGTTGTGCATCCAGGAGTGATGGAGCTGGGAAAAAAAAAATTCTGAGTCCATGTACAGGGCTTCTTTCACTTCATAGTTACAGCATGCAATGATAGAATATCCCAAAGTGAAAATCAGCACAAATTTGGAGCTAGAGTTGCAGTAGATGGTGCAGGCCTATAAAGCCATGATGTCCTCTCATTTGTTATGTTTATTTTTTATTTTATTTATTTTTATTATAAATATTACTTGTTTATTTGAGAGAAGAGAGAAAGACCACTTCCATCCATCTAGCTTCCATCTGGCTGCCCAAATTCCCACAATATCCAGGGGAGGGCCAGGGCAAAGCTAGGAGCCCTGAACTCAATCAGAGCCTCCCACTTGGGTGTATTGGGACCCATTGTACTTGAGCCTTTACCTGCTGCCTCCCAGGTTGTATGTAACAGGAAGCTGGATCAGAAAGTGGAGCCAAGAGTTAAAGCCAGGACCCCTGACATGGGATGTGGGCTTTCCAAGCAGCGTCTTAACTGCTGTGCTAGATGCACCACCGTATATCTTCTCACATAAAACAGAAGAGATGAGATGTTTCAGTGAATGGATTAGATACCTGCTCGTCCCCATGCTACTCCCGGAGTCTGAGTGCTCTTCTGTTGGCTGCTGCCATTTCCCCCCTCTTTCTTACTAAGTTTGTGTGGTCTCTTTGCCTCTCCCACCAGTGGCTTACGTTTATTTTGGAGTTAACAAAAACATTTTAATATCTGAAATAAATCATATTTCTTATAATTTCGTGTCCACAACTCTAAGCCAAAGACACCCTTGCAACACACTGAAAAAGTGTTGTGAGTTGGGTGGGTGACTGTCTCTTTAGTTTATACCTGGATAGATTTTTAAGAGCTTTGATGGATTCAAGAAAGAAAGAAGACTGTGGGTAGGAATTGGGTGTGCTCTGTCAGTCACAGCGAGGTATCCCAGAACGGCAAAGTAAAGAACCCCAAGGTTGTCTGTGAGTGAAGGTGCTGATTTGCCTGGGTCATGAATAGTTTAATAAAAAGCTGAACATGGAAACATAATCTAGAGCATTCTGATTTTGTCAATAGTGGGCCACATGATCCAAAATCAAACATGGAGCTCCACAGGAGTATATTCATAGTGATCTTGAGTCAATAATCAGTGCCAGAGACAAGACATGCTTCAAATACGGGACACATGCAAATTGTGCAAGAACACACTTTTGCACACAGTTTGAATCACCTGCCAGAAGTAACTTTATTCTTTACACCTGTAGGAAATAGTGAAGATTCTCTTTCACAAGCAAACCCACCCAGGATTTGCAGTGATGGGTTATGAACAAAAGGCCCATGAATTCATATGTAGCTCAAGTGAACAAACTGAATTTCCTATATTAAACATTTTATAAGTAGGTGAAAAAAATAAATGTTATATAACAAAAGTATTTATGTAGGCAATTAAATTCTAGCGAGCCATGTGGTGAAACATCATATTTATAAGTGTTGGTGTCAGACTGATACCCCTTGGAACACTCGGTTTCTTCTTGTTAGCACTTACTAAAGGCCAGAGATTGGTTGGCTGCTCTGGGCTTCAGGCAACAAAAAATAGTGACTCAAACTGGTTTAGAAAGTAAGAACATTTGTTATCTCACAGATCAATAAATCCAAAGCAAGAGTGATCCACAATCATCAAGCATTATTGCTCTGGCTTCATTTTTTTGGTGAACCTTTTGTCTTCCTTTCTTGCCATTGGTCCTAGCCTCAGGCTGGGACTAAGATTATTTCTGTAGCTGCAGGCTGTCTCAGTGCAGCAATGTCCAGAGGCAGAGATACAAAAGGTCATTTGTTCTGGTGTGTGCTTTGTATTCTAAGGAAATTTTTTTAAAAGATTTTTATTTATTTATTTGACGGGTAGAGTTACAGACAGTGAAAGAGAGAGAGAGAGAGAGAGAGACAGAGAGAAAGGTCTTCCTTCCGTTGGTTCACTCCCCAAATGACCACAACGGCCAGAGCTACGCCTATCCAAAGCCAGGAGCCAGGAGCTTCTTCCAAGTCTTCCTACACAGGTTCAGGGGCCCCAGCACTCGGGCCATCTTCTGCTGCTTTCCCAGGCCACAGCAGAGAGCTGGATCTAGGTCAGCAGGCATCGGGTCGATGGGTGCCCGTCTCAGTAAGTTCTTCTCTACCTGCAGGCACTGTTGTAAGTTCTTCTCTACCTGCAGGCACTGTTGTAAGTTCTTCTCTACCTGCCGGCACTGTTGTAAGTTCTTCTCTACCTGCCGGCACTGTTGTAAGGAGAATCAGGCTGCAATAGATGCTCTCTCTTGTGTGAGAGCAGCTTCGGAGTTTTTGAGCAAAGGGCTGGCTTTCATTGCCAGTCTTCTTCTTTTTCCAAGTAGCTGTCGCACGTTACCTATCCAAAGATGCCTCTGTTTATGTCATCTCACAAGTAACTCAACAGAGCTGGCGCAGCCTCATTGTTGCCCGCAGAAGCTATTGGGAAAGGGGCTCCTCATTGATTGAGAGTTAGACATATGCGTATGATTGCCTGCAACAAAAGCCAGGAAACTGATGAACTAGAACATTCAGCTCTTACACTGGGAGATTGTTTCGGCTTCTTAGGAAGACTCACAGGGTCAGGAACTCCCCAAACATAGGAAGAGGTTCAGATGCTGGGCAGCCAAAAGAATAATCAGAGTTCAGTCGAATTTTTGCCACAATAACAAGGATGAGGACATGTATAGTTTAATTTTTAAAGACCTTTGCTCCACCTGGCTAATATCCAAAAATGCTCTTTGTTCTTATCACTTCTGTGGTCACAGAAATTTAAACAGTTCCTAATCAGCTTTTCTGTATCTTTCTGAGAAGGCAATTTCAGTACAATGCTTAAATTCTCCAAATAGCTAATAAAATTTTAACTGGGCTTCACTTTAATATAATATGGTTGGGGGCTGGCCATTTCAGGGGTCGGAAAATCAAATATTATGACCTGGAAAATAGTTTTCCTTAGAGGAATATTCCAATATCCTGACTTTCATCTATCCTATGGTTCTTAGAGCAGATGGCATTCTCAAGAAGCATTCTCAGTGTTCACTGAGAGTTGTGTTTTCTTATACTTCACCTTGCTCTTGAACCTAAGTCAGAGACATTCTGACTCAATTTTTTTCTTCATAATAAACCTGTGATCTCCTATTAGGTGGAATCATTGCCTTTCTGGACAGATGGCTTAGGGATGCAACTACTTCATTTACAGATTTTCAATTATTCACTCCACTTTCAACCCTATGTTGACTTCTGCTTTCCATGATAGCTGCTATCTCCAAATTCTGCATTTCACAGGCAGAGGCATATCAGCTTTGTTTTTAAGTTTTCCCTTCTGTGGACACATAAGTTGTTTTCTCTTCCTGGCCAAAGTAGTTACTGTCCCTCCATTGAATCATTTGTGGATCTGTTTCTATTGCATATTTTTCCTTCAGATTTCATTTTTTGGCATGTCTGGTAAATTTTTTTTAAAGATTTATTTATTTATTTGAAAGTCAGAATTACATGGAGAGAGAAGAAGAGGCAGAGAGAGAGAGAGGTATTCCATCCAATGGTTCACTCCCCCAGTTAGCTGCAATGGCTGGAGCTGCGCCAATCCGAAGCCAGGAGCCAGAACCTTCTTCCAGGTCTCCCACGTGGTGCAGAGGCCCAAGGACTTGGGCCATCTTCTACTGCTTTCTCAGACCATAGCAGAGAGCTGGATCAGAAGTGGAGTGGCCAGGACTTGAACCGGCGCCCATATGGGATGCCAGCACTGCAGGCGGCAGCCTTACCCGCTATGCTATGGTATCGGCCCCATGTCTGGTAATTTTTAATTGAATGCTAGATATTGCACATGGACATT